GATTCTTTCTTCTGCTTGGCTAATTCTGCTTTCCATGCTTATTAGTCTGTTATTCATTTCCATCACAGTATTCTTTACTGCTGTTATTTCTGACATCAGCTCCTTCCTATTTTCCTCTTGTCTCTTCTCAATTTTTAAAATTCTCTCCATTAACGTTTTGATGTCTGGGTTTGTTGCATGTGACCAGTCATTCTGGGGGCTCTTCATTGTTTGTGTTCCAGAATCTGTTTTCTCAGTGTCTGATCTCCCAGGGGTCTGTGTGACACCTATATTCTTCTTTTGGTTTTTTTACATTTGTGCGGTTTTTCCCCCTCCCTACTTTTTCCTTCCTTCCATGTCACCATCTTCTTTAATTCTGTTATTCAGGGGTAAAGGGATTGGTTTTACTTCTGTTTGTTCAATCTCCTATTTTTTATGTATGCCCTCTTACTTTGTTCAATTCTGGAGTTGCACTGTAGGTTGGGGGTCGTCCTTTTTGCAGTTTTGAGATTTAATTAAGGGGGGAGCTGTTATTCAAAATCTATCTGCAGGTCCTCATATTCGCTGACAGGTGTGTGGATAGTCTGGAACCTACTTCCCCTGCCTTGGAATCTGTCCGTGCAGTGGGGCAGTAGGTTTACTCCCTGAAATAAAATGTGGTTAGCAAAGGGAAGAGAATGGAGCAGACAGTGGGTTGAAGAGGGGGGGTGGAGAGATAGAGGAGTAAGGGGGGAAACAAACGTGTGCCAACAAATGGAGAGAGAGACCTATACTGAAACAGATAAAAACAATAGACCATAGCTACTGACGAACCAACTCCCATACAAAAAAAAATAAAACATATAGTGATGCTAACATACAAGCTAACCAACCACCTTATTGGTGTGCTTTTCCTCTATACAAAGATATGGTTTACAGAGAGAAGAAAAGAGAAGAAAAGGAAGAGGAAAAAAAAAAAAAAAGGAACAATACAGTAGGAATAGAATTAAGTCATTAAACTAACAGAATCAATGAAACACACTCTGAGACTTTTCATTTAAGTCCAATGTCCTTTCATGTCTGATTTCTAACTTTCTTTTCAAGCAGGTAAATTAGTTTGCAGTTAGGGTCAGTTGCCCCTGGTCTGCTGTGAAGGACAGTTCAGATCACCCTCCGTTTACCACTCTGGCCTATGTCTTTTTCAAGCTTGTTTCTCCCATTTCGGTGTTGTTACCTTGAATCGCCAGCAGGTGGTGCTATCTCACCTGCTCGCCCCAGAGGGGGTGGGGCCGGACAGGAACCGGCAGAGACTGGAGATGGATGCCTGCCTCAGGGCACAGGCAGGAGACTCACGGCGGGCAGGATGTCTCTTGTCACAGGAGAGGTGGCAGCGATCCCCGCAGATCTTCCCTGAAGGGGCTTCAAGGACTGAAGTCGGGGATCACCTCCGCCCGGTGGTGCGATGTGCTACCGGCAGCGGTGGCGGCAGTGGCGGCGGCATCCGTGCTGCAGCGTCTGCGCCGTAGTGACTGTCCAGACCGCTGCGATGCCCCAGCGGTGGCAATGGCCGAGCTCCGTTTGAAGAGCAGGCTGCGATTTTGGGGCCCGCAGCCCTCCGGGCGAGAGCCAGAGACCCACTGCAGTTCTCCTTTGCAGAGGGTTTCACAGACCAGGTTCACGAATTGTTTGAGGCTGGCTTTTTTCTTTTCTTCCCTCCTTGCCTTCCTCTCTCCCTCCCTTCCTTTTTTCTTTTTATTAATAAAATTCCCAAAAGACAAAATACAGCAGTAATGCATATCTAAAAATGTTGCTTTGCCCTTATATTTGATTAATAGCTAGGTAGCTGTAGAATTAAAAATAATTTGAATACTTTGTTTAGTTTTCTTTATATGCGGTTCATGCTGATTAAGTCTGATTATTCCTTTAGAATTGACCTGTTTTGGACTTTTGAAATTTCATTACCAAAAATTTGGTGTCATTTTTATCTGCTCAATACTCAATTGATCTTTTCAGTTTGAAATCTCATATCTCTCGTGAGCTCAGTGAGGTTTTATTTTACAGAAAGATAATTTCTTACATTTGTTTGTTTCTTTCTGAAACACCTTGAGTCAGGTATTGAATATCCTAGACTGATCCTTTAGCTCTATTAATTACTTAAAAACTTTTAATAGTTTTTGTTTCTTTGTATTTCTGTTTATTCCTAGGAGATTCTCTTCACTTTTTCGTTTAACTTTTCTATTACTTACTTCAATAGCTATATTGTTTTATTTCAATAGCTATCGTCTTAATTTACAAGTTTTTATTTCAGCAGCCATACTATTAATCCACTTATTTACAAGTGGTTTTTTTTTTCTCTCTTTAGATTCTCTTCTGCTCTCTGAATTCCCTTTGCTGCCTCTAGGCCCAGATTCTATGTATTTATTTATTTTTGGTTAGTCTTAACTTTTATCTTTCATGTTACTGGCTTTATTATATATGGTGGTTCTTAGTTATCTATCCATTTGTATCTAAGGATGAGAGACTAGGTCAGCTATCCTAGCAAGCTCTTTTTTTTTTTTTTTTTTGAGTTGGAGTCTCACTCTGTCGCCCAGACTGGCGTGCAGTGGCCGCTCCTGGCCACTGCAGCCTCGACCTGCTGGGCTCTGGTGATCCTTCTGCCTCAGCCTTCCAAGTAACTGGAACTACAGGCGTGCGCTACCACACCCGGCTAATTTTTTGATTTATTGTAGAGATGAGGTCTCACCTGCCCAGGCGGGTCTCGAACCCATAGGCTCAGGCAATCCACTCACCTCAGCTTCCCAAAGGCGCGGGATTACAGGCTGAGCCACCGAACCCGGCCCTAGCAAGCTCTTAAGGACACTTCTACTGTTATATAGGCAGGTGTCTTTCCTATTAGTATGATCCCCTGAATGAGAGTGAAGTCTTTGTACAAGGATAGGACTCTTCTAGGACTAAGAACCAACCAGCCTTTAGTCTGAAGAACCCCAATGCCAGAATAAAAAATACTTTTATTATTTTTAACCCTGATGTTCTGGAATCTTCTATTGTAACCATGATTTTCCCCAGTCCATTCATTCATTCTTTTTTTTTTTTTTGATAATTCTCTGATAAAGTGGGAGAGCAGAGGAAGGATAAGGTGAAAGAAAAGGGAGCTAACTGGCTCAGTTTTCTCCAAATAGACATTTAAAAGGTCACAAGGTTTAGTACAAAAGAATCTTAACTAATTCTAAACTTAATCAGTATCTTTACTCTTCTCCTGAATAATATAAAGATCTTAGATTGCTTTAAGACTGGTTTCCCTCTTCAAAGCCTTAAATATATCGATATGACTTAATTTATATAAGTTAGCTATATTGTTTTATTTCAATATAATATGTAATTTGTATATAATTAAAACTATAAGATACATATCTCATAAGCTCATCATGCATGAGTTTTTCATCTGCAGAACTCTAGAATGCTTTCTCTACACAAACTTTAATTAACCTTCAGTCCTTCATCTTTGCTGCCTTAAATCCTGGCGTTTTCTGCCTGGCAGATCATGTCCCTCTTTTGCTCTTATGGCTTCTTCTCTTTATAGAAGAACATGCTTCCAGCTTTTTTCTATGCAATGGAAATTTGTTGAGATCTCTTGTTGGCTAGTTGTGCTTTCATTCTTTTCATTGTGCAGAGTTTATTACTTTAAAAAAAGTTTTAATTATTTTTGTAGGGTTTCAAGAAGCAGTGAAGATGAGTGTGTGCTTAGTTTTCATCCTGAACCAGCAGTCTTAAAATATCTGAACTGTTTGAGGATTTTAACATTTGTATAAACATGAAGGAGGTGATTAGAATTCATTTTATTTGTCTATTATGTAAAAATAGTTTTCCACTCTGGCCCTTAAGTGAAATTTCTGAGTCCAAATTTTAGTAAAGATTTTTTTGATCAAGTTAACAGGACACCCATCAAAATAAGTTGCTTCACTGTCTGTGTCATTTGACAAAGGCCTGCAGCTAGGTTCTCCCAGGGTGGATCAATGGCTCATGATGTCCTCAAAGACCAGCCCTTGCTGTCTTTCTGCTCTGTCATCTTTGGCTTGTTGGTCTCTCCTCATGGTTACAAAGTCCTTAGGCTTCAGCTTCTAAGAGCAGATGGGAGAGGGATTTTTTTCATGCTGGTCAGGGAGGATAAAATGGGACGTTTTCCCTAGCATAATAGTTTGAAATGTTTTCTTGGCCAGCCCTGGGTCCCATGCTCACTCTACCTGCAATGGAGATTGGAATGCATGTGCTGAAATGTTTTCTTGGCCAGCCCTGGGTCCCATGCTCACTCTACCTGCAATGGAGATTGGAATGCATGTGCCAATGGGAAGCAGACTGTCAGCAAAGAGGAAGGGTGGGAGAGGGCTTTGGGGGAGGACACTCAAGGTCAGCTCCAGTTTGGTGTTTCTGTGTGTCTCTTTTTCTGCCCCTTCACTAAGGATTTTTGTTCTGCTTTCCCCAGCTTATTTGACTTCCCTTGCATCTGTAAGAAAGAGAAATTACTCAAATAGCATAAAAATACTGACTTGAGACTGTTGGTCAGTAAAGCATTGATTTTTTTAAAAAGTCTTTCATTATTAGCTATAACACACATTTGGCCATTTTTGTATTTATTATTTGGATATCTAAGACGTAAACTAAATTATATGAGCTGTCTGTGGAATAACTGAAATGCTGTGCCTGTACGGACAGGCCAAGTACAGAAGAGGAGTGTGGTGGGAAGCCGCTGTAGAATCCTGAACTATCTTCATATGGTTACTCTACCAGTGACTAGCGGTGTGAATCTGGACACTTTAGACCTTTACTTTCTTTAGCTGGAGTGAGAGTTGTTATGAGGCTTAAATTAGATAATGCTTTTAAAGAGTTTAACGTTATCACTGGCTTACGATAAACTTTAGCTGTTATCATTTGTTGTGTCTCTATGGCTAGTTCCTAAGATATGGAATTTTGGAGCTGCAGAAGCATTTTGAATTGCAGTGCTCTTTATTTTAGACATGGGAAACTGATGCCCAGAATCACTGAAGGTTTCTGAGCCTCGGTACTATGTCTGGGACTTGAGAGCATACCTGTGAGGATCATCAGAGCTAATGGGTGGAAAAGCATTTAGATGTGAATTTCTAACATTGTTCATACAGTAGCTGATTTTCTTGCCTGCTCAAAGACTATGAATAATGTTTATAAAATAACCTTCTGGTTCTGACAATGGAAACATCGATGCATTTGCTTTCTTTTTTAAAATTTAGATGTATCCAGTTAAAACAAGCAATAGATGAAAATAAAAATACTCTTCAAAAATTAAGCAAAGTAAGTAATATCGTTAATCATCTTATAAATCATCTTATATTTATACAAATGTTTTCATTAAGTGGGTATTAATTCCAGCTGTGAGGTCCTGGGCTTGCATTAATGATAAAGCTTAAACTCCGTCAGTCCTGCCTTGCCCAATAGGCTCACGAAGTCGGTGCTTCACAGCAAAAAAGCCAGGACTGCAACCACGGAAAACAGTTCACAGTTCAGCTTCAATGAACTTACACACTGTGGAGGGCTCTGACAATCCTGGGAGGAGCTATTTTTATTCTTGCATTTTGTAAATTCTGTGTTTTACAGTCTAGAATTATTTTTATTTTTATTTTATTGTGGGGAAAAATACATAATTTGGCCCTCAGGGTAAGTGGTAAAGAAGTCTCCTGTATCACATGGCAGCTATGATGTCAGTGACTGCAGAAATAGAAGGAACAAGAATTTGCCCTTGGCAATCCTTTCAGGTTTTATTTTTTCTAACATGAGCTTGGTCTTCAGATAGGTGGCCAGGGCCAGAGACCCATGGAGAATTTAAAGTGGAAGATGCTTGAAATTCAGCTCCCTGCCTATGTATTAATCCCCTTTACTGCATCTGAAACACATGGCCACTGAGCATTTCTTCTCAATTTCTCCAGTAGTAACAAACTTTTCAAATTTGAAAGTCTAAGTTTCACAGATGAGGAAACTGAGGTTCTCAATGGTGAAGCACCCATGTCTCTTCTGCCACCCATGTAAGTGGCAGAATTTGGGAGTGGCACCTGTCTTATTGACTCTAAAAGCCCACCTTTGGTCAGAGCCTAACCCTTACTGATAACACTTAGCAAGAAAATAAAACAAAAAACAAAACACGTAGTATAATTTTATTTTTTCATTTGCTCTGCATTCTAACCCAATAATCTACATTTCTTTTCAATCTTATTTATTTCCGTAAGCTAAAATCTCACATTGATATTTACTTTGTCTTATAGCACTTATGGGAGCTTATTTGCTGTTATTCTTTTGAAATAAATATAATACAAAATGGAAATTAATTTTTTAGTGAAATAGACCTCTATTCTCTCATAGGCTGATGAACCCGCACCTGTTGGGAATTATAACCAGAGAAAAGAAGAGGAACGTAATCTTTTGGATAAACTTACCCACCAACTGCAGGAACTTGCTGTGGCCATAAGTAGAGAAAATATAACTGAGTATGCTTCCTTTTTAGCTTTCCTTTTTTTTCTTTCTTTAAGATATGATGTCACCCACAGCTTTAATGATTGACTCAGAATAAAGAAATGTAACAGTATAGATGTAAACAAATGACACTAACAGTCAACATGTATTTATTTTGTATAATAGAATGTGATAGATCCCATGATAGATATAAAGACATGTAAATTATAGTCTCTACTCTCAGGTAAATTATAATTTAGTTGGGGAAACAAAACAGAGACCTGAAAAGCTAAATAATCAAATGGTAGAAAATATGGGTGACACCTTTAACGTCAGTGATGATGTAGAAGAGGAAAATGATTTGGACTGTCTACATCGTTCCCCCTTGCATAATTTTTTTTTTATGAAGCAGAGACATGCATTGATTTTCTGCCAGAGTGAATGTTAATAATAGCTTTTGAAAGCTGCAAAGACGACTTGTAGATACAAGTTGAGTATTCTTTATCTGAAATGCTTGGGACCAGTAATGTTTTAGATTTTGAAACATTTGCATGTAGAGCATTCCTAATTTCAAAAACTGAAATCTCAGTGGCTTTGTGCATCATTTTGGCACTTTAAAAGTTTTAGATTTTGGAGCATTTTGGATTTTAGATGTTCAGAGTAGGGATACTCAGTCTGTGTGAACAAATCCAATTTGTGGGAAGCAAAAGGAAAAAAAAATTATTCAGACTCTTCAAATGCTGTTCCTCATTTTTTTTTTGTACTCTGGAAAGATGCTGAAGGATGTAGATGCGAGAATTCTAGAATTTCTTTGGATTTCCAGTACTGAGAATGGCAGAGTAGCTGGTATTGGACTGACTTACCCACCCTAAAATAACTATAAAGTCTTGACAAAATATATAAACAGCTGTTTGAAGGTATTGCACATCAGCCAAGCAGGGCTGATATTCTTGATACAGGGAGACACCTAAGATGAGTACTACATTCAGTCAGACTTTCTCCCTGGAAATAATTTATGGGGTGTGGTGCAGGAAGGAGAATTCCAAACAGGGAACAATTTCATTGGACTGAGGGGACAGCGATCACACTTTGAAGTTGCTTAGTTCACTGCAATTTGTGGAGCAAGGTACCATAAAGAAGGGAGTTGCAGAGAGTCAACCTCAGAAATCTGAATGGTGTCCTGGGGTATGTAGTATATGATTCTGCAAAGCTTGGCAAATGCACCTGCTGAGAGACTGAAAGCTTAACAGATTCTAGAGGCTTCACAGTTCTGGAAAAACATTGAAGTTGTACCTAGTTAGAGTAAAGAGACGATGGTGAATGCTCCAGGCATTTAGTGATCTCAGAAGGCCCATGCCCTGGGAGTAAAGAAAACATCCTGAGAGTTACAACCATAATCTAAGAATAAAGCAAAACTGAAGTAGATCTTTTCTGTTAAAGCCTAAAAGCAGACCTTAATAGGAACAAAATAATTTAACCGTAACATTTAAAAATTCAACACTTTTTAGAGAAAGATAACAGTCTCTGAATGTGTCCAGTAATTTGTTAATCACAATATCCCATAATAAAAAATAGAAATGGAAAAAAGCAGGGGAAAGTACTGATTGATAAGGAATAAAATAATAAAAGCAGACCCAGATCTGATCCAGCTAGTAGAGTTAGCTGACATTTACTTCTAGATAATATGATTTATATGTTAAAGAAAATAGAAGAAAAGATGAATGAAATGGAGAAAAGGTGGAGTATTTTAAGAGAATTCAAATGTAGAAAAAGTTACTTGTAAGTGGACCCTGAACATTTACCATAATACTATAAGAAAGGGATTGGCAGTAGCGGAATACTGCTGGGGTGGGTGGGTCTGGGGGGGACACAACATCAATAAGGATACCTGATCTCAAACTAGGCAAAGTGGAGACCAAAGAGAAGCTCAAACTTTACCTATATGATGACCACTTGTATACCTAATCCTGAATTGTACCCCACATCTTTAAGATAAAATCAGCCAAGCATGATGGCTCACACCTGTAATCCCAGCACTTTGGGAAGTTGAGGCGAGAGGATCCCTTGAGGCCTGGAGTTCAAGACTAAAAAAAAAAAAATAATAAGGTAAAAAAAGAATCAACTGAATATTCCACAGCTGAAAAATATAATATTTGATGAAATAATGACTGAGAACTTTCAAAATCTGTTTCAATGTCAAAAATCTGAAGAGTGTCTATAGTCAAGAGAAAAAAATTGATAGGAACTCAGAGGTGTGAAAATTAGCAAATAAGAACTGTAAAACAATTTTTGATATGTTAAAGAATGTATAGGAAATGATAGAATAGATGGATGCAGAGAACCTTAAGCAGAGAAATAGAAGCTAAGAAAGATCAAAATGAAAATTCTGAGACCAAAAAGTACACTATATGAAATTTTAAAAAATTATAAGGTGGTTTAACAGAAAACTGGATACAACAGAGGAAGGGATCAGTGAACCCAAAGACAGACTTAAAAATTTTCAAACAAATGCACAAAAAGGAAAAAAGAATGCAAAGAACAAAACAGAATGTAAGAGAGATGTGGGACATGGTCAAAAGTTATAACAAACCTGTAGGTGAAGTCTCAGGAGGAGAGGAGAGAGAATGGAGGACAAGAAATCTTTAAAGAGCTAATGACTGAAAACATTTTAAAATTGAAATCTAGAAGAGCTATCAATTCACTGATCCAAAGATCTCGGGGAACTCAAACAGAATAGAAGAAAACCACACACAGGTACATCATCATCAAACTGCTGAAAACCAAGGTAAGTAGAAAATCTTTTTTTTTGAGTTGGAGTCTCACTCTGTTGCCCAGACTGGAGTGCAGTGGCCGCTCCCGGCCACCACAGCCTCGACCTGCTGGGCTCTGGCGATCCTTCCGCCTTAGCCTTCCAAGTAGCCGGAACTACAGGCGTGCGCTACCACGCCTGGCTGATTTTTTGATTTATCGTAGAGATGAGGTCTCGCTGCCCAGGTGGGTCTTGAACCCGCGGGTTCAGGCAATCCACTCACCTCAGCCTCCCAAAGGTGCGCGATTACAGGCTGAGCCACCGAGCCCAGCTAGGAGAAAATCTTAAAAGCAATCGGGGAAAGGGAAACATTTGTACAGACAAACAGCAGAATTATAGTTGATGTGTTATTAGAAAAAAAAAACATCAGAAAACAATGCAGTAGCGTTTTGAAATGTCAATAGAAATCTATCAAACCAGAATTCTGTATCCAGCAAAAGTATCAGAAAGTGAGATAAAGACCTTTTCAGACAAAAACTGAGGAAATTAGTCAACCAGTCTGCAGCATAACAAATGCTAAAGGAACCTGGTGTGGTGGCTCAAGGTGTGGTGGTTCACGCCTATAATCCCAGCACGTTGGGAGGTGGAGGCAAGAGGATTGCGTGAGTCCAGGGGTTCAAGACCAGCCTGGGCAACTTGGCGAGACCTCGTCTCTACAATAGATCAAAAATTAGCTGGGCATGGTGGCACACACCTGTGGTTCCAGCTACTTGGAAGGGTGAGGCAGAAGGATCATCTGAGCCCAGCAGGTCCAGGTTGTGGTGGCCATGAGCATACTGCTGCACTCCAGGCTGGGCGTCAGAGTAGGACTCTGACTCAAAAAATAAACAAACAAATAAATAAATAGAAATGCTAAAAAAAGTTCTTCAGGGTAGAAGACAATGATTCCATATGGAAATTTGAATCTTCAAGAAAGAATGAAGAGTATGTGAGTAAATATAGAAGCCTATTATTTTATTTTCTACATGGTTTTAAAAGACAGTTGTATAAAGCAAAATATATATTTGGGAATTTATAATATACAGTTGGTTCTCATTATTTACTGTAGTTATGTTTAATAAAGTGGCCACAAACACTGAATTAGCAAATACTTAACCACTGCTTCAGGGGAAATGTAGACTTAGGCTCCTGTGAGCCTCTGGTCACAATGTTTTTGTCAACTGAGTAATACACAGCCTTTTTGGGTGTATGTTTTTATACAAAGGCACCTTATATAATGTATATTATTGGCTTGTTAATAATGAATTCACAGCAATAGTAGTATAACTCGAGTGTGAACATGTGTTATCTAACAAACGTATTTTCTCCATCAGGCACATTGCAGCTTTCTTCTGCTTAGGAACACCTCAAAACACTTTAGCACTATGCTTGGGAGTTGTTTTAAACAGCAAAATTAACCACCCCCTTCCACGATAATGCAAAAAATATGGTACTAAGTAGACTGGAAAAAAAGGTACTTGCTAATTATATGCAAACTAGAAAAAAAGGGCATGTGTCACAATGTTCAACCTGAGCTGGAAGTTTGTATGTCAGACAACCCTGATTTTTCACTGCTTTGTGCATGTTCACAAATGACCACAGAAGGACTGCAAGTATGAATTAGGGGGCTACAAATAAATATTAATGAACAGATGAATTCACAAATACATAATCTGAAAATGATGAAGACTGGCTATGTATAGAAGCAAAATATGTAACAATAGCATAGTACAAAAGGTTGACAAAAGAATCTTAAAGTTCTTTTTACTGAAATGTAATATTGATTTAAATTAGATTATGAGTTAGGGATGTATACTGTGAGACCGCTAACAGTTACTAACAAAATAATACAAAGAATATACAGCTAGTATAGCAACACAAACGACGAAAGGGAATACTAAAAGTGACTTGATTAACCCAAAAAAAGGCAGGAAAGAAAAGCAAAAAAAGCAGATGAGACAACACTAGAAACTAAATAGTAACATGATTTGAATGCAGCCATTTGGATAGTTACAGTAAATTTAAATGAATTAACACTCCAATTAAAAAAAGAGATTGTCAGAGTACTTTAAAAATATATATATACTGCTTAGAAGAGATAACACTTAGTATAAAATTATAGATAGATTGAAAATAAAAAACTGGAAAAAGATATTCCATGCAACTATAACCAGAAGAAAGGTGAGGCAGTTATATTAGTAACAAGAATTTAAGGCTAGAAGTAGTTTACTATATAAGGAAGGACAT